TGATCAATATTAGTTTTTTTATCTATCAATGTGCACTTTTTATGTCAAAAAGGCGGAAGTGATTAAATGCAGCTTTTTGCACGAAAGATATTAGAATACCTCAATATAATTCAATTGGTGCTAGTCACATAAAATATAAAATGAATCGGAATGTCTGTTAAAAAAATATATACAAAAAATGTCTCAAAATATTACAAATAACAGAACATATAACATCAACCAATATAAGAGAGGCACCTCTACCCAAGTAGCATTTTTCGTGGGCGGAACGTGGCTACCACGACTTTAGACACTTTAAAGTGTATTGCCAAAGTTTCTGCCACGTAATAGACACGGTTTTACCACGTAGCGGTAATTAAAATGGGGAACACTTTCTTGGTGGCAACCACGTTCCAGCCACGTTTTCGGAACTTATATAATCACGTTTACGCCACGTGGCAAAAACGTGGCGATAACGCTGAACTTTGCTTACGAACCTTGCCTTTTACTGAATAATATTAATAAGGTGTTACAAAAATATTGATTCAGGAATTCTGATAGGCAAAAAGTTGGAACGATTGGAAGTTTACTGTCAATACTCTATATTTATTTAAAAAGTTAAAATCTGTAAATGTTTCATTTTCAAAATTATTTATTTAGATGCCTTAAACAGTATTTTTTATTAATCTTGGTTAATTAAAATTATTAAATATATTTGAATTTTATTGCATTGAAGCTATACGGTCGAAACAATTTTTTTTTTAAATAGCACCTTTATATTTTTTCATAATGGCGAACTTAAAAATGATTACAAATATGTCTGCTTTAGAAAAAAAAATTTAAAGTTGCAGAAACTAAAAATATGCCACTTTGTAGTTACTTTCATCAAATAAGTGGCAGCTGGAACTAATCCAATATATTTTTCACCACTTCAAAGTGGCGGTTACATGGCAGCCACCTGGTGTTTGCTACCATAACGTTAATTATTTACATTGTTGCCAGATCAGTCATTTCTCTACTTATTTCAGAGTTTTTGAGTTGTTCAATAAGACCAATGTCAGGAGGGAAAATCAAATTTACCTTAAATTACAAATATGTCATCCATCAACCTAGATCAAGGTAATGTAAATTTAAAGCAATTTTAATCTTGAATAGCGTAAATCGGCCTAATCAAATATTAAGGTACAGTATATTTGGAATCGCCATAGTGAAAAATATATAGGGATTACATTTTAATTCTTAAAATTGATACTTGTTAGTTTCCTTTCTGGTTACGGTTTGTTTATCTTAATAGTAATTTCTAGTAAAGCCTCATAACTTATTTATTTAACAATTTATTTTATCTCTTTTAATAAACATTTTAAGTGACATTATAAAAATAACTGAATACCCTGTACAAATATAGTGTACATTTAAGAAGATTATGGGAAAAATTTGTATACTATATCTTCTCAGAGAAATTGCGCTCTGATGATATCGCAACACTGTATTAGTTGTATTATTCCATATAACCTTAAAATTTACAGTAGATTTAGCTGGTTAATTTTGTTTATGTCACAGATCACTTAAATTTAGGTATTTAATGTTTTATATTGTGTTTGTGGGCACACCTTAGATTTAGATATGAGTTTTAAAATTGTATCGACTTAATTCTGCGTTGTTCCCGACATGTGGGAAACCTTATTTTGGCCAGGCCATTTAAATTTTTTGGTACCACTCATTTGTTGTTTAAGTTGTCGAATGTCGAAAAATATTCTTTTTGTAAGGCTTCTTGTTGTTTTTCATTCCACACACAAATGCACTCTTGATAAGTCTAAAAACAAAATAATTTGCGCAGAGATCGACGACACTTTGGTAGTATTTTCTTTATTGTAAAGGCGGACAATGTAGATAGCAGGCCACTAATAGGCAACGGTTACTTCATTGTGAATTTTGAAGATAGTAGTAACTTTAAAGTGGCTTTTTTTCCACACAATATGTAAAAATCACTTAAGAGCGTGGCAAAAACGTGGAAAGAACTACTGCAGTTTTACAATCAAGTGCCGCCACTTTAAAGATATAAATATGGTTCTCTAAACGTTACTAAAACTATCACACCCACTTTAAGATTACTGCCTCTTCTAGGTGGTATTTAAGTGATATTTTCCACATTCAAGTTTATGCAACTTTAAAGTGGTCTCGCGTAGTGGCTATAACGTTTCAAACACCTTTAGAGACAACTAAATAATTTAGAACTTTGAAGTGATTCCCAGTAGCTACAACAGGGAAAATATACAAGTATTAGAAATTAAAAATTTAAAAAACCGACTTCAAAAACGTGCTGATGCCATCACCACATCTTAACCAAATTTTTATGGGAACACCACTGAGGTACCCCCTTACTAACAAAAAAAGAATCATTAAAATCGGACATTATCGCTGAACATACATAAAAAAAATCAAAAAAATAAAAAAAAAAAATAAAAAAAAATCAAAAAAAATACTGCGACGAATTGAGAACCTCCTCCTTTTTTGAAGTCGGTTAAAAATTAAGTTATTCTCACTATATAGGGGTACATTTAGTGATTATAACGTATTAGTCACTTAATAGAAGTGGCGATATAAGTTTCTGTCACTATAATGCTACTTGGGTAGGCGACGTTGTCAACTACATTAAACTGTAGGCTGGCTGAAGAACTAAAAGTGACCTCATCAATTGAGGAGGATGCCCAAATAACCTATTTTAATAACGATTAAAAAATATATTTTGAAATAGGTAAAAATAATTATTTATGCAACAAGTGTGTAAAGTTGAAGAAATATTTAAAAAAATAGGTTTTTAACTCTTATGAATATTAATATTGAATGTGCAATTATTGCAATTACCAAAACTTAAGGTTTTGGTCTTTTCCAGCACAGAGTTTGAAAAATGTTGTGATATTACTTCTGTAACCCTATTTTGAGCTTCGAGTGGTATGGATTTGGCCTTTTCAAGTAAAGAGGTTGAAATATTTTGTGTAACTCTAGTTTCACTGTCGAGTGGTTCCACTAATTCTTCATTAGAGTTGTCAACGGTAAAATTGTAGCTTTGTTTGGAAGTGGATGGCATACTGTCATCCATCAAAATTTTATTAGAAATAGAAATAGAAATTTTGTTTTTTTGTGTTATTGTGCTGTCTACGTAGCCTTCTGCAACAGCAGATGATTTCCATCCTCCATGTTTTTTGACCGTTGGAAGGTCTCCTCCAGAATTTGCCAGCATAGTGGCTGAAGACCTCCTAAAGCAGTGTCCTATAAAAGCCGTTGGATTGGGCAAGTTTAGATACGTTGCTATAACACTTGGCATTTTACCAAAAGTATTTATCCCTACAGGCTGTTTAGAATATTTTCCATTTGCGAATTTTAAAAAAATCTGTTACAATTTATATTTGATGGTCTTAATGAGGTATATTTTTTTTTTTGAAAGATAAATAATAAACTGCAGAATTATTTGGATTTAAAATCGTAAAAATGCGTTCTGTTCCATTTTTGGTTTCTGATACTTTGACAATATACACCGTTTGTTTATCTTCCACATCGTTAATTGTCATTTTACATAATTCTTCCCGGCGACAAGCTCCCGCAATTCCAATTATAAAAGCTACCTAAAAAATAACATATTGTAAATAATTTATTAAACATTAGGAAATATCTTGACGTTGCGCATGTAAAACTCCAAATAAATTGTAAAAAATATAAAAGTTTTAGGTATAATGTGCTGCCTAACAACCCCGGTGGCCTGTTAGGACAGCAACTGATTTTGTTAGGCAACACACCATACGAACACATATCTCGTTGCAAAACTTTACAAAATATTTTAATTTTATACTGAGCATTCAAGCATTTACTGAGGCATTTACTTACTTTGATCATTAAAAACTTGGAATCTGGAGCTTTCAACAAAAAATTAATTAGATCTTCTCGTTCAAAAATTTTGGATTTTTTTGGTTTATAACCTTTATTTTTTTGTTTGAGAAACGCTATTAACTTGTTGAATTTCGAAATATCAACGTTGTTTTTATATTTTAAGGTGCTTTTAAGCATAGAATAAATCGACCATAGGGTAGAAGCTTTGCATTTCTTCAATTCATCAGAGAAATATGCTAAAATAACGTTTTCCGAATATTTTGTCACCTTAGTCTTCCTACACCATTCTATAAATGCATTGTATTTTTGCTGATAAATATATGCAGATTTTTCTGGCAATAAATTTTCAGTGGCCTTTTGTGCACTGCATAAGATATCTGGGGGAGTATTATCAAATTCGCTATCGCTAGATAAATTTGAATCCATATCGATTATGACAGATATAATAAACTGCAAATAAAATTTGAATTTAAGTAAACAAACATTAAAAAGTAAAACTTTTTACCTTCTCAAACTTGATTGAGTTTAAAAAAATGCTAAATTGGCTTTAGAATCTAATCTTGAACTTAAGTATACTTTTGTCGTGTTCTGTTAAAAGGTAGGTACTAATTAAAAGTTTAGAGATTGACAGTTCTTCTAATCCACACAGCCACGGCCAACTTACTTTTACCAAAATCGACATCCACTGTATGTTTACTTTTAATTAAATCTATTACATTTAGAGAAAATTATAATTAAAATAAACTGTTGATAATTTGTTGGACACTAAATAGATATAAGCAAAAATAATTTATTTATTTGTCTTAGAAGGAGATAGCAAAAAAATGTTAATATAAAATAAAACGTTATATTTTGTTTTTATGTACAAATTTTGTAAAATTTTAATTTTTTTAACTAGTGCGTAAAGAGTTTTACTTTACGCACTAGTGAAAAAAAGTACAACTTTACACACTTCGCGGAGTGCGTAAAGTACGTACTTTACGCACGATAGTAGAAAAAATATATTTTAATTTGATCTTTGTTCACAGCAACAATTTTTAAAAGAATATTTTTGTTTAAAACCCTACATTTTGGTCCATTTAACCTACATAAACTATGTCTTTAAATATTTTAAAAATAATTTCGTGTGTTTTTAGAAACTGATCATACGCGAAGGAGTAAAGGATGTCCCACAAAAATATATTGACGGTCTAGAAGAAGCCTTCGGTATAGTTGAAAAATTTTTAGAACAAAATTCTTGGATAGCCGGAGATGAGATGACTATTGCAGATTTTAGTATCGCAACCAGCCTTACCACTTGGTCATATTTCTTGCCAATCACGGAAGAAAAATATCCAAGAATATCTAAATGGTTGAAAAAATTAGAGGCATTGCCATATTTTCAAGAAATTAATCCTAAAGGAATAAACGATTATATTAATTTGATAAAATCCGTATTGAATAAATAGATGTTGTTTTTGATATGAATTAATTGTGAATTAAAGTAATAAATATTCATTATTAATTAAGTGATTGTTTGGTAATATTAAAACATTATTTACAAATGTTGATTAATAATTATGGATTTTTTCAAACAAAAACTTTTTATTAATCCTTTAATACCATGTCAATATTACGTTTTACATTTTTGGTAAATTATCAGTAATAATCTCCCAAGGTCAGTGATAATTTGAAATAATTTTGCTAGAAGTGTATGAAATAAAATTATAAGTATTTATCACTGGCCGAAGAATATTCTGTCAGAAAATGTTAGCTCATTTATTTAATAATAGAAACCTGCCAAATGCATGAAGGGTCCCGCACTATCGTTCAAAATTAAATACTATATACAGGGGTCGGCATAAGTCAGGCAACAAATTTGCATACAAAAATGCAGCATCAAAATTAATTTATTCGAAGAAATTACAAAGGGAAAAAGGTTAGTTTAATTGTTCAAATTGATGCCTATCTTAATCAATGCATTGACGGCAACGTTTCGCAATGGAGAGACAGGTCAGGCCATAGATTATTAATGTGAATAGATGGGAAACTCAATGGTAAAATTCTGAGTCGATGTGCTGCCATCTATCAAATTGGAGTGGTACTAAAATTCAATATGGCCGCTTAGCGCGGGCTTTTTGAAATTTAACTTTCTGCTAGTCGCGCAAAAATATAATGAAGAATATCAAACAAAAAAAATAAATTGGCAAAATATTTTACTAGTTTTAAATCATAAAACAACCATATTGACTGTTTTGTGATTTGAAACTAGTCAAATATTTTGCCAATTTATTTTTTTTGTTTGATTTTCTTCATTATATTTTTGCATTAATTTCAAACTTGAAATAAAATGCAATTTATTTTATTTATTTTTTTTATTACAGTAAATTAACGCCGCATCATATAATTTGTCTATTTAAACATGGAAATAGGTACTCAAACAAATATGCATTTATACCATTTAAATAATTAAATATTTATAAAACAAACCTATCAAAAATGTTTTCTGTAAAAAACTCGATATATTTAAGTGCTCAAGACCAATATAAAAGTTTTGCAACTTGGAGTGGCAATAAGTTTGAAAAAACTGAAGTTTAAGCATCATCCTTTTGGTGTCTTACAATCAAGGCGAATTTGAGGGTGGATACAATTTGTCATATGCTTATTGGGTCGACTAGTTAAGTTGAGGAACATTTCTTAATTCGATATTGTTTTATTGATTTATTTGTACAGCACCTGTAGTTATCAAATTATTATTCATCATCTGGGCACTGTGATAAATGAATTTAACTTTCGAGCTTAAATTAAACTTACACACGTTTGGACCTTTAAAGATTTTGGGGTGTTTTCTTGTTTGATGTCAATGGCATTGAATCATATTTTGATATTGATGGCTAAGGCTCAAATATTTCATCGATCTACAGGTTATTTTGAAGGGCCAACATTTTCTTTATAACAATGATCATTTAAAAACTGAAAACAAAAAGAAATTTAAATAACAAACCAATTATTTTAACACTGAATCAAAAACAAGTTTGTAAAGATTACTTACCATTGATATAGGAGTACAAGATGGATTTTTCTTAAGACACTTATTACAAATTTTATGTTTAATCCTTAATATGACGACCGCATATTTAATACGTGGTATAAATTGCATCACTACCAATATCTGGGAGTGCTTCATTGTTCGTTGCTGAAATCCATGTTCCTATCTCTTGAAAACATGCTTAAAATTGGAAGGTGTTGAAAAATAAATCTAGATGAATCAAAATTCAATACACCTTTAAATGCGACAGCTATTTTAATTTTTCCAAGTATGAAGTTTTGTTCACAAGCTGACAACAGTGACAACTGACATGACATTTCGATACGAGCGCCATCCCGTTAATTGGAGTGGTACTAAATTACCGTCCTCATGTTTTTCCATTTAAGTTACTAGCCCCTGGGTCAGGCGAAGCATGTTAAGGTAGTTCACTCGCGACAGTCGTACATAAAAATATCGCGTAATGGTGAATACCAAAAGTTCGAGATTCTCAATGCTAATCAATTTTATTTTTATAAGAGACTGTACAAAACACATGTATATAAACACATATGGACAAGTTATAATTTTAATCAATTTCGTCCGGCAAACTCGCAAATATTTAAACGATATGGTATAGAAATTTGTGACTTCCTCATACTAATTTTAAGGTTTGTTTTGGTTCAAACAGAACCGCTGATTACAGTTCTCAAACATAGTGGACGAATTAATTTTTCAAGAATACGTCGCGAGTTTATAACAACCTCTTAGCTGATCAAGTGTTACTTTGATACGTGAAGTGGCTACAATGTTGCCAAGTTGTAATAATTTTACGAAACTACTCGTTAACTGCTTTAAAAATATTTTTATTTTAAAAATCTATATCTTTTTACTAAGACGGTCAAAAAATTCAGCTATTATTTATAACATTTGATAAGTTCTTGATTTATTAACCATAATTTTTAAAAAATATGGTAAAAACCGTTTTCGAGATATCTTGAAATAAATGCATTACTTGTATACATGATAGGCTTCAAGAGTGTTAATTATACACATTTTGATTGTTAATATCTCGTTTCACAGACGGTCAAAAAAATCTAATTTTTTTAGTTACGTAAACGACACTTTCATAAACCATATATTTAAATTTTATTGAGTTCTTAAGAAAAGCCGTTTTACGAGTGAACTAACTTAAGGTGTCCGCGAAGATTTTCAAATTCTTCTTCAATTGCAGTTCGAAGCTCGGGAAGGGTGCGTGGTTCTCTTGCAAAAACGCGTTCCTTGAGAAGGCCCCACATGAAAAAATCGCAGGGTGTCAGGTCACAGGACTGTGCGCGCCACTGAAAGATTCCTCGTCTGCCTATCCATTCTCCAAAATGATGATTAAGGAACTTCCGCACACATAACGCGTAGTGCGGCGAAGCTTCATCCTGCATGAAATGACGGACGTTCGCGAGTGTTGGATCGTTGTACATTTGCCCACGTAAATTTTCGAGCATGCATTTCCAGATAACTTTGGCCAGACTTATGCCTATTTTTTGAGCGTTTCCAGAATTATGCCGACCCCTGTAGGTACTTTTTGAATACTTTATTAAGATTGAGCAAAAAAGCTAAAACAAAAACACATTTCTAGTAGGGGTGTCACCTTTAATTTTTAAATTATTGTTATTATTTGTTGTTATAGCGGCAATAGTTACAGATTCTGTAAAAAATGCAACTGTCTACCTATTATGGATCATGGTTACCCTTCGGGTACGGGACCCAAAAAAGTAATTTACTAGTTTTTTTTTCCTGGGCTCGTCTGATTATGTGTCTCCGAATAACACTGAAGCCTATTGGCTTATTGTGTTTTACCCCATGTTAGTTCATAGCACCCTCTCTATCATCTTTGTAACTTGTACAAGTTTGTACAGATCCTTGGGTGAGTGGTGTAGTGTAACCAATTAAAATAAAGAGACAACTTGACTAATATCTCTCTCTCTTTTATAAAAGTATGATAAATAAAGTGGCGGCGTGATCGACTATAAAGTGATTAGGACACCACGAGTGACAGACTGAAAGATTCGTTATCTATTGGCTACTTACGTGTTATTGAGGGAGTGGTAAAGGTTAAGAGAAAATATCTATTGATTTATATCTAATCTTTATTGAAAATATTATAGATGACAGAATCAGAAAGTAAAAATTTATAAGTATATAAAATATATTTATAAAGATTAAATATAGGTCTGGTTCGGTGCAATAAAAAAAATAATTAATTTATCAAATGAGGGGAAAGAACCAGCAAGTAAACCCCAAAGTTATAATAAATACAATAAACCAATCAAACGTCAATTTGGATACAAATGACAAATTAAGTATATATATAAAAAACACATTTAATTACTTGATGTTTTAGTTAAAGACAGAAAAATATATGAAATAATATTCAATTTGAGTTAAACACAGGAAAATATATGAAATAATATTCAATACATTATTAAAAAAAAAAACAATATCTAATACTGCAAGGCAAAAATAAAGTAAATATTTTAAGAACAATAACTCATCAGATAACAAACATTGAGCATTACTAGGTTCAAACACACTCGATGCAAAACTGAAGAAGGGTTAATAGGGACAAGGTAATGGGGAAGCTCTACAGCTTTACTACCCACCTAGAGTTGAATATTCTGGTGACAATATAGGGTAAGTTACCGAGACACCTATCCCGATGTTGTCCCAGCCACGGGCGAAAATGTTAGTATCAATCAACAAGGCATTTTATACTTTTAACTTAGATCTGCCAATGCTGTGAATATCTGATGTTAGAAAAACACATAATTTACTAATATAATATTACTTTTACCTTGCCGAACTTTATAAATGACAAAAAAAAATAATCTCAATGTCAAATAAAAATTATAGCAAATTTTCCTTGGTATAACTACAAAATATCAATAAACTTCAAAAATATTTAAATTAAAATATTAAAAGGTTGCCATTTTTCACTGATTTAGATAGTAAAATAAGTAATAAAATCAAATAAACTCGTTATTTGAATGCAAGTAAATTTTTATGACAGATACAAAAAAAATGCCGTCAAGAAAAAGCATGAAATTACTTATAACAGTGAAATTTAAATCTAAATAGTGAATCATCAACTAGTTAAATAATATAAAAGTAATTGAAACATAATAATTGATTTAAAAAGGCACTTACATTTTTATCACAAATAAAACTAACAAAAACCTACACCTTTTTAACAATCACGACATTCCATTCTCTCCACGTTCAATCACTGACATTCAATAATAATTCCCTTTCCTATGACGATGATTCTCTGCTTCTGTTCCAGCGCATCCACGACTTTGGTTCCTGGAATTTACCGCGGTTAAAAGCGATAGAATAGGTGGACGCTTTATATTGCCATTCAACGGAGACGGAATTAAATATTAAATACGATCCCTTTCAGTGGGTTCTATACGTTGTTGGATCAACCTGGGGTTATCCAAAAAGAGCCTGTCTTTTGCGAT